AATGCCAGTCTGTAGAGAGTCCTCCCTCTCCCCCAAAAGCCCTTCCTCTTTGTCTTTGTTTGAACCCATTGGATCAAACTCTGAAATAGCATCTTCATCGTCATCCTCCAAATGCTCGCAATCCTCCCAGCTCTTATCAACAATTTCATCATCTTCAAGCTTCTGTCCTGAGTATCTAGGATTAGGGTGGTTGACAACACTTTGAGTTGCACTCCCTTGCGATGCCTCTTGGGACCCATTGCCAAACCAATTTCAGGCCTCTATTTGGGGTACAACGGGTGTTTGCATTTCTACTACAACTTCATCCCATGTATGAACCCATTTGGGTATAGATTTTGGGCAGCAAGGACCTCCCTTCTATCCAAGAGGTATATGCACTGGTTCAATCTAAGGAAAGTATGTGGTCTACCCTGAATCCTCCTAAGGGGGAGACAATTGCTTTAGCAGTAAGAGGTAACACAAGTTCAACAAGAAAGGGGGAAAACCAATAAAAAGGTAGATGATAAAGATAAATTGTGTTGTACTCACTATCAAAATCCAGGCACACCCATGGGACTTGCTAGGAATTGAATGGGAAACAAAAGTGAGCACAAGAACTAAGCAAGAAATCAACACAAGAACAAAGCAAGAAACCAAATCAGAAGTTCACCTCAGCAAATTTAGCATCTCATGAGCCTCAAAGTGGTTTTTCTACCATGAGTTCTTCTCAACATTGCCCCCCTAGTTCTGATCTCAAGGAGGATATTATTAATTCCTTCCATGACCATTTGAAGCAATATGGTAGGGCACTCAAACAAGCAGATTTTGGATCCACTCCTTCAACCTCTTTTGCTTCCTTCTCAAGTAACTCAGCTTCCACTTTCCATGTATCTACTAATACCCCAGAATCCCCATTGGTTATTGATTTCGGTGCTTCAAATGATACTAGTAATTGATCAAAAAAAGTCAACATTTTCCATTTGTACACTCTTTTCTCTGGAAAAGATAAAGTGAGGTTAGATGATGCATCTTTCTCCTCCATTGTTGATCAAGGATCTATATCTCTGCCTTTGCCCTTTCATTATCAAATGTTTTACATGTTCCAAAGTTGCTCATTAGCTTGTTATCCATTAGCAATATTACACATGCCTTGAACTGTTCAATTACCTTTCTTCCACATTCTTGTGTTTTTCAGAATTTGACCTCTAGGAGGATGATTGTTAGAGGGAACATGGTTGATGGTCTCTATGTGTTGGAGAATAAAGTTTGTCTTGTGGCCTCAGAGTCTTTGAGCCAATCAAGTAAGAGTCAAGCTAATTTGTGGCACCATCTTTTGAGTCCTTGAAGTACTTGTTGCCAAAATTGCTTTTAAGTCTGTGTCAGTCAGCGATTTTCAGTGTCAAGTGTGTTGGTTGAGTAAGCATTGTAGAACTTCAATTCCTTTACGTAATAAAAGATTGGATTTTCCTTTTTACATTGTGTATTCTGATGTTTGGGGATTTTCAATGCCTATGGTGACCTCACAGAATTTTTGGCCTCTTGTGGCTCTCTTCACCAAAGCTCCTATGCCAAAACCCTTCAACAAAAGGGGGTTGCTGAGAGAAAAAATCACTCTAGAAGTTTCTCGGGGTTGCTATTGCAAATGAATGTACCAAAACGATTTTGGGTGGATGATGTTATGATTGTTGCCTATGTTATCAATAGGATGCCATCCCAGTTATTAGAATATAAGTCTCCTCATCAGCTTCTCTTTCCTAAGGCCCCAATGTTTCCCATACTTATGTGTGCCTTTGGTTGTCAGTACTTTGTTCATGACCTATCTCCTACTCGTGGTAAACTTGATCCCAAAGTTATTGTTTGTGTTTTCCTTAGTTATCCTCTTTCTCAAAAAAGCTATCGTTGCTTTGACCCCATTTCAGAAAAAATATTGTCTCTATGGATATCTCTTTCTTTGAAGATGTTCCGTATTTTCCTATCTCTCCTCAAGGGGGAGTTTGAGTGAGGAGAAACAGAAATATACACAAGTTTCATTGCCTTCTCCTGACCCCCTTCCATTTCGTGTCTTCCGGAGACAACGTTACAAAAGCCAAGGAGAAAAAAGTTCAACAACCACAGAGCAACTAGAAGCTATGCAACCAAAGCCATTGAATTCTTAGAGGTTGGATCCCTCACCACATCCAAGTACCATAATTCTAGTTGATATCCCTTAACCTATTGATATTGACACTTCAAATTGTGATTTGAACCTCCCTATTGCAAAAAGGAAGGGTGTTAGATCATGCACCACACACCACCCCCATGGCTCATTTCTTGTCCTAAAAGAATATCTCATCCTCATTTCGTGCTTTCCTATCTCCCATTGATAGTGTTCCCCTCCCTAAGAGTATTGCAAAGGCTTCACTTGTTCCTGAGTGACCAGGTGCAATGAGGGACGCGATCAATGCCCTACACAAAAATAGCATGTGGGAGTTGGTAGATCTTCCTAAGGGAAAGGAGCCTGTTGGGTGCAAATTGGTGTTCTCTGTGAAACATAAGGTAGATGGCTCAATGGAGAGATACTAGGCTCAACTGGTAACAAAAGGTTTTACACAGGTGTATCGGGTTGATTATCTAAAGACTTTTGCTCCAGTGGCAAAGATGAATTCTATGTGGGATCTTCTCTCTTTAGCAGTAAACCTAGACTGGAAACTCCATCAACTAGACATGAAAAATGCCTTCATAAATGGTGATTTGGAGGAAGTATACATGATTCAACCTCCTGGCTTTTGTGCTAAGGGCAATGAACAAAAAGTCTACAAACTGAAAAAATCTTTATATGGTCTAAAACAGTCACCAAGAACTTGGTTTAGCAGATTCCACCAGGTTGTTCAACAGATGGATTTTAAATAGTGTCGAACTGATTACACACTCATTGTAAAGAAGGAACAAGGAAGAACGGCAGCCTCAATTGTCTATGTTTATGATATTGTTATCACTATTGCCGAGTCTCAAAGATACAAAGGTTATGGCTACACGATTTGAAGTGAAGGATCTAGAGCCACTACATTACTTCCTTAGGATTGAAGTTGTTCACTCTCAATAAGGTATCTTCATCTCTAAAAATAAGTACACCTTGGAACTCCTGAAAGATACAAGAAAAATTGGAGCCAAACCAGCAAACACTCCTATAGATGTGAATCACACACTCAATGACTATAATGATGAGCCCTTAAAAGATCCAAAACAATACCAAAGACTTGTGGGTAGACTTCTCTATTTATCTATGGCTAGGCTCGACATTACATATGTAGTGGGAGTCCTCAATCAGCTCATGCATGCACCCAAGGCGGCACACCTAGAGGCAGCAGATAGGGTTCTCAGATACCTTAAGAAATTCTCAAGGACAGGTCTCCTCTTCAAGAAACATGGACATATGAAAGTTGAGGTTTACACTGAAGTTGATTAGGCCAGCTTGGTGGATGACAAGAAATCAACCAGTGGATATTGTACCTTTGTAGGAGGAAATCTTGCTACTTGGAAAAGTAAGAAACTAAGTGTGGTGGATAAATCTAGGCCAGATGCAGAATATAGGACCATGTCCATGGAGTTGCTGATCTAATGTGGATAAAAAACATATTAGGCAATTGGGTTTTCCTTTTGATGATCCTATGTCACTCTATTGTGACAATAAAGATGCTATCAACATTGCAGCCAATCCAATGCTCCATGATAGAACCAAACACATTGAAGTAGACAAACATTTCATCAGGGAGAAACTAGAGAAGTGAGAAGTGTGCCCTCCATACACTAGCTCAGAAGAACAATTTGCAGATGTTTTTACTAAGGGATTAAACTCCTTGCGGCATTATCATCTTTGTGACGAGTAGGGGATGATTGATAACTACACCCCAACTTGAGAGGAAGTGATGTAATATTAGTTGTGTCGCAAGGGGCACTTTAGTCTTTTTCTTCCTCTTTTGTTTTGTACGGTCGCCCTACTCTATAAATATAAGGTCTAGCACTGCTAACCTATCTTTTGGCTCTCTAACATTTTCTCCTCTTCTTCTCTCTTCTCTTCTCCTTCCTCTCTCTTCTCTCCTCATTCTACTCGGCTGAAATCATTTGCCTTGCCCCCTCCCCTTCAATATCTCTTTTCAATCTTTCCCACTAAACTCCTTATCTCCCCAACATGTTTCTCGTAGAAACCATCTCCCAATTAATTAAATGATCTCTTTTGACATCACCCACTTCCCAAAGAAAGTTCCTCATTATTTTCTAGTTTTTTTGCCACCAAAGTCAGTATTTAAAAGACTAGTAAGAAATAAATTGGAAAATTTGACACAGTAAATTCCATAGGGTATTCTTCCTCCCAACAAGAAATAGGACAACTTCCAAGTTGCAAGCTTTATAGATATTCTGTCCATGATGGAACCCCAGAAGTTACACAATTTAGGATTCCCTCCTAGTGGTGGCCCTAGACACCCATTGGCCCTAGACACACAATTTAGGATTCCCTCCTACTATTTAGAATTATTTTCAAAATGACCATCTTCTCAAAGCATTGTATTAGAAGATGCATGGTTCTCACAAAACAAGTATATTTATATCCCCTATGCTATAATAGATTTTTCTTTCAAGCTGGAAATAGATCACTAGGCCCTCAATTTAACTATTTTGGCAATAGTTTAATCATAGCAAAAAAAAAAAAAAATAGAGGTTTGACAGAACATAGAAGAACAAAATAATTAAGAGAATATAGAACTGAAATGTTGGAAGAATGATTTAAACCAGGGCCCACATGATGGTTAAGTGCACAAAAAAATATTAATTTTGAAGCTATAAAGAAATGAAACAAATAAAATTATATTGAATGATTACCAAAAAAGAAAGAAATGAAATAAACCAATTTCACTCAAAACCCAATTTTTAAAAGAACTAAAATAGAATATAGAAGCATAAAACAAATGTTAGTAATGTTGTTTTCTTACTAAAATCATGTCTTGTGGTTATCGCTCAATCATGTGACTGAAAGGGGACCCTACCTGCTCCTGGATGATACTCCTTGCTTCAACAAGTTGAGCCTCAAGTTCAAGTTCCCGTTCAGTTGCTTCAGAAGTAACCTCTGCTCCTTTCTGTGCATCTTGTAGTTGAACCATGCGTTCCTTTTCAATTGAGAACAAGAAATTAGATTTTCTAAATAAAGCATTATGTGTCATCAATTGATGCAACCACTTGTTTCCATGAAAATATAAACAATAAAGAAGAAATCTGTAAAAATAAAAAATCATTTCACCTTTATAGAAGCCATTTTAGTCCGCAAGCTCTCTTCTATTTGATCTCTAGCCATATGAAAAGGCAGATCAAAGACATCCTACAAATAAAGAAATATTCAATAATTGAATCTAATCCCCCAAAGAAGTTATAAAAAAAATCTATTTCACAAAAGAGAAACCCTTTTGCATCGTTCAAGAATGGATGTCGGCCATACCGTCCTCCCACCCAATGGGGACTGTGGAGGATCTGCATCAGGTTTTTCGCTGACAGCTAATGTTTGCTTGGTCAACCCATTTGGAGCATTTAAGAAATCACGCATATCCATCTAGAAAACAATAGTTCCCAAAACCCACCTTCAGTAGTCATGCAAACTAAAAAAACCACAGTTTAAAAGCACCACTAAGAATGATGAAGCAATGCAATGCAAAATGAGCCATGTAGTGAAAGCACGAAACAATGAGTTATGAGAAGAAGCTCACTGCAAAACAACAATAGGAAGCATTTTTACCCTTTGAGAAGGAAGTGAGAATGCCAACAGCTGATAAGATTACAGCAAGGAATTGCCGAATACTATATACGTCTTTTTATAGTTGGTAAGCCCGTGCCTTAGACTGTTAGACTTGTGAATGTCTCAATAATCCTATCCTACATCTCTTTTACTATGGAGAGGTACATGTAGTTCTAAGTTATATGTGGCAGGATGGAGGCAACAAGGCATGGCATTAGGCAAATATTTGGGTTCTCTCTAACTCACAAATGACTCCAAGATTTTTTTTTTTTCGAAGATAAACAAAAAAGAAAATTGTATTGCTGAAAATAAAATATACATCTAAAAGTCAGAATGCAAATCTTCTTTCTTTAGACCCTCAAATCCTGGGAGTACCAACATCCAGCCAACAGAAAAAGAAGAGATTACCGCCCCAACTTCTTCCAATATTTTCGTTCTCCCTTCAAAAATCCTCTTGTTTCTCTCCCTCCAAACCTCCCAGCAGACAGCAAATGGAATGCAGCTCCAGAGAATTTTTGCTTTAGTACTTCCAAGTTCCAACAACTCTTGGCCAATCACCAAAGATTCCAGCAGAGTCCACTGATGCCCATCCAGTCGCCTTAAAGAGCTTAAAGAAGGACCAGATCCTTTTCACAAAGAAGCAATGAACCATCAAGTGCATAACATTCTCCTCTTCGGCAAAACATGGCATATATCTGTTTGGGAATTGATAGCCTCGTTTCTTTGATATGTCCTGCGTAAAAAATGCAGCCTCTAGAAATCAGCCATACAAATGCTTCGGTTCTTGGGGGGACAGGTCTCCTACAAACTCCTCTAATTGCATCAACCTCCACCCGGGACCTCGTTAAAGCATTATACATGGATTTGACAATAAATCTCCAATCTTTAAATTCTTTCCACCATTTGATCTCAGCAGATGAAAGACCAATTTCCAATTCTTGAAGCTTGAAGCTTGGTTTCCCTTTGAGGGCGACAGATTATGGCACAAAGTGATTGAGAGCATTCATGGGGTGATTGGAAATGGCTGGGATGCAAAAGTTTCCCCTCACAGTTCTTCAGCTTCTCCTTGGAAAGCAATTAATGAAATCTACCCTACTTTCCTCAATTCCATCCGGTTTGATGTGGGACAAGGTAATAAAATTTTGTTCTGGAAAGATCCAAGGGTAGAGGAAACCCCACTAAAAGACAAATTTCCTGATCTCTTTGCGCTATCTAACCTCAAGGGGGAAGCTATATCCATGTTGGGATCACTGTATCCAAATGGTGTGAACTGGAATTTGGGCTTTAGAAGGGGACTAAGGGAAAATGAGTGTGTCTTTAATCCAATTGTTGGACCTCTTAAGGCAAATCCACTTGGACCCTTCGTTTGGAAGACTCTAGAATTTGGGTAGGCTCTCCATCTGGCCTTTTTTCTTGCTCCTCTTTCTTCAAAGAACTTGCTTTTCCCCCAACCTTCTAGGTGGGGTTTTCCTTATGAAAGAAATTTGGTGCAAGCCTATTCCCCCGAAGATCCAAGCCTTCTGCTGGGAAATATTCCTTGGTAAGGTAAACACTTGTGATATGCTACAGAAAAGAAGGCCATATGTTTGCCTTTCTCCTCATGTGTGTTCATTGTTGTTTAGGGTTAAAAATATATGTTGTAAAATAAATAAATAAATAAAATATAAGGCTTGAGGGGCCAGATTTGACAGCTGGCCCATTCCACATAAATTAAAATTTGTTCTGGTTATGGAGGGAGTTAAGCAACCACCCCACGTATGAAGAGTGGGGAGGCTGATCTAACCTCCCTACCCCATAACTGTCTCCTCTATATAAGGGGGAGAGGAGAAGAAAATTGGGCAGCAGATAGAGAGAAGGGAGAAGAGAAAGAGATAAGAAAGAAAGAGAAAAAGAGAGAAGAAATAGAGGAGGGAATTTGTAGTTTGGCTGATTGAGGTGTAAGGATAGGCTTACACAGGTATAAATCTTATCCTTTCCATCCATCTCTTTAAAATATTATCTATTTCAATCCTTATCTTCTCTCTCTCTCTCTCTCTAGAGTTCTGTTAGAACTCAAAATCTTATTTCAAATTACATATATGCATATCTAGTGGAATCCCATCCACCTCAATGAAAACAAAAAATAATGATAATACTGGGGAGCCTCTGATATGTCGGTGGATTCTATCCACCCCAAAGAATTTCAGTAGGCTAACCCAGTGCTGTCAATACACCTAAAATGGGACAGGTGTGCTGACCTGTAACAGCACTTGGCCACCTGTTGCAACACTGTTGCAGACTTGAAAAGGGGGACACATGTATTACTGTGGCAGTCTATGTTGCCACTTGTAAATGGCAGGCTTCTGGGTCCCACTGTCAGTGGATCTTATCCACTTAAAAAGGGGACACCACACGTGTTAATGTTGCAGACCTGAGAAAGAGGACAGATGTACTGGTTTGCTGTTTGTTGCAGCCAATATTGCCATTTGTAAATGACAGACCCCTAGGACCCACTGTTTCAGTTTGCTGCCAACTGTTACAGAGGGACCCACTGTCATACGATGTGGATCTTATCCACTTTAAGAAGATAAATTACATTACCCCCTGAATTAGTTAAGATTCAATCGGTGAATCCTATCCACCTCAGTTATAAAAAAATATATCTAAATAGATAAATAAAATATAATCTAAATTCCCACTATCAAATCAAACTAGTGGGTCCCACCTATCAACAGGGCCCACTGTCAAAATATTTAAGTTCAAAACATTAAAGTGGGCCATGCCCACTATCAAATCAAACTAGTGGGTCCCACCCATCAGCGGGGCCCACTATCAAAATATTTAAATTCAAAACAATTAAGTGGGCCATGCCCACTATCAAATCAAACTAGTGGGTCCCACCTGTCAGCAGTGCCCACTGTAAAAATATTTAAGTTTAAAATCTTAAAGTGGGCCACGCACACTAACAAATCAACATAGTGGGTCCCACCTATCAACGAGGCCCACTGTCAAAATATTTAAGTTTAAAATCTTAAAGTGGGCCATGCCCACTAACAAATCAACCTAGTGGGTCCCACCTGTCAGCAGGGCCCACTGTCAAAATATTTAAGTTTAAAACATTAAAGTGGGCCATGCCCACTATCAAATCAAACTAGTGGGTCCCACCTGTCAATGGGACTCACTGTCAAAATATTTAAGTTCAAAACATTAAAGTGGGCCATGCCCACTATCAAATCAAACTAGTGGGTCCCACTGTCAAAATATTTAAGTTCAAAACATCAAGGCCCTGTTTGATGATTAAGTACTTGTTAAAAGAAGTATTTGTTTCTTAGAAGTACTTATTTTAACAACCACTTAAGACTGTTTGGTAACCCACTTTTGAAATCACTTTTTATGTTTTTAAGCACTTATTGGGGTGGGTATGTTTGGTAAGCTACTTTCCCCATAAGTGCTTATATTGACACAAATGACAACTTTAGCCCTCACTTCACAACTTCATCTTCTGGTTCTTGTTCAGATGCATCCAACAACTGTTTCTGCTTCGTATGTTTCTTACTAGTAGAATTGTGATTAGAGCTCTTTACAAGATCTTCTTCAGCATCCAGAATTTCTTCATCCACTAATGAATCAAGAACAGATGGAATTCTATCAAATAACTCATTGATCCCATCATCGGTTCCCCGCAATCTTCCACCTTTCCCCTTGAGCTTCTTCGCAAGTTTCCTTTCCAATTCCAAATCTTCCTCAGCAAACACAACGCCTTTCTTCATCTCCATTTCAATATACTCTTCAAACTTTGTCTTTGATTTCCTCTTCAAATTCTTCCTCTACTTCACCATTGTTTCCGTTGTATGATTAGAACCACATGATAATCGTTGCTACATCGATGCAAACCAGGACACCCTCTATACACATTCCCTCCACCAATTCTACAGAGACCGTTACATCACTGGTGCTGTTGATTTCGCCTTTGGTAATGCAGCCGTGGTGTTCCAAAACTGCAAACTTATTGCTCGAAAAACTGCAAAGTGATTGCTCGAAAAGCCATGACTGCACAAAAGAACATGGTGACCGCACAAGGCTGGATCGACCCCAATCAAAGTATAGGAACGTCTGTCATGTGCAGTCTAACATTGGAAACCACATAGATACGAAGAGCTGGTCAGAATTGAGTGGCGATTTTGCGTTAAAGGCTTTGTATTATGGAGAGTTTAATCTACTGCGAGAAATTCCATTCTAACAAAAAATAGGGTTTTTTAAAAGGATAAGGTAATAGGGATGTTTAATCTATTGAAACAGGGATTAGGGCTTGGGGAGATTAGCTTTGTTCTAACAACTGATGACCACCGATGTGAGTAATGGTTCTCGGATGAAGAAGAAGACGGAAGAAGAATGAAGAAGAATGAAGAAGAATGAAGAAGAATGAAGACGGGAAGAAGAGGAAGAAGAAGAAATAAGAGTCATTGAGGAGACTGGAGAGAACTTTTCTATCTTTACCGTCGGAATTCTTCCCGTCGCCGGTGGACCACGTTTACAAACACCGGTGTATGTGAGTGGCTGATGGAATGATTTTCTGGGTTATGGCTGGGACTGGGAGAAGTAGAGGAAATGGAAGGGACTGAAGGAGTTCGAATGAATGGAGGAGGAGGTATAACCCTCATGGGGGTATTTTAGGCATTACAAAAAATTATTAGGGACTGGTTCATCCCATTTATTTGGAGAATTACTTCTTCAAGAAGTACTTAAAAAAAGCCAACTTGAAGTCACTTTTTTAAAGAAGTACTTCTTTGAAGAAACAAGTACTTCTTCCCCACTTTTTTACCAAACACACAAAACCA